AACCATTTGCGCAACTACTGCAGAATTTTGCGATGAAGGTTACATGGCGTGGGATACTGGTACTCGGCAACGCTCTGCCGTTTCAAACTCCGACACATGCTTGGACGGTGGTCAGGCACTTTTGTAGGCGCTACGTCCCTCGGATCGAAACCTTTATCAGAGGGAATATGTTGGCAATGGGCATCTATTCAAAATGATTACAGCATAATTTTCATTTATTGTCCGTAATGGCCGGTATGAATATATCCTGGGCCAAAAATCCTTTTATCTTGCAATGAAGGCCGTTCTTAAAATTCTGCTCTCATCATTTTATTCTCATAAGCCTTTGGCACAGCTCTTCCCGCAGAACTATGTGGCAGATGTGTCTGTACAAATAGTTCATTTAGTGGAAGTATTTCCCCTCATAACGGCAGGTGGGCCGCCCGGCCCGGTATCCGCTCTGTCTTTTCTTGCCACATCATCCGATTCACCGACACGTTTTGAGCATGTTTTCACGTGTTCAACTCCTCCAAGATGGGTATGCAGGGAGGCAGGAAGGCCAATGCCATCAAGATGAGGGAAAATCGAGCAGAAACGCGTCTGAAGTCGGCCGGCAGTAGGCTACTGCAGTCCGTAACACCTCGACGACAGGCGCTGATGGATCGTGTCACGGCTTTAGAGGCTACCACTTCCGCTCTCGAGAACACAGTGCTGAAGGAGAAAAATGACGGCCTGGCTTCTCACGCCAACGACCTGGGACGACTCTTGAAAGCAGCGGCGATGACTTCTGGTGCTGCGAATCCGGACACTCCCTTGCCTGTGCTTGATATACCTTTGGTGGAGAACTGGGATGCACAGGACGATGACAACATGCTGGATGAATATTAATTACTTATTTCATCATAAATAGTGTACCCGGCCTTCTATATAGTTGATAATGTATTGGCTTTGCCTTTATGGATGGGCGTGGTTGACGAACATAGAGGAAGATCAATAGGGGCTAATTTCCAAATTCGGCAATACCACATTCTCTATCACCGAAATTTGACAGTGTTGCCGAGTCCCAGGGATACAGCACGAACCCGTTTCGTGTTGGGGTGCCTAACAAACACTGCCCAGCGTTCTGGAAGATCAACTGCGGATTTCTGAGCTTTGGACGGGGGGGAACACCAACTTTTTGCTATAGGTAGAGTCTATTTTGGGCACTCGGATGAAGCGCACGAACGCATGTCGTGTCGTACCGCCTAGGAAATACAACAGGATTATTAGGGGATGTCCAGAACAGATGTTCACCCTTGAGACTGAGGAAAACGACCTAGATTTGAGGGATATAGATCAAATTTTCTGATGCAACCTGTTTTGGACACACGGACAGAGCGCACGGACGCGTTTCAGGTCGTACTGCCTATACAATACAACAAGGTTCTTGAGGGGGGTCCAGAGCAGATGTTCACCCTTGAGATTGAGGAAAACAACCCAGATGTGAGGGAGATGGATCAGGTTTTCTGATGCAATCTGCTTTTTTTTTACACTCGGACAAGGCGCACAGAAGCGTTCCGTGTCGTACAGCTTATAAAATACAACAGGGTCCTTGAGGGAGGTCCAGAGAAGATGTCCACCTTTGAAACTGAGGAAAACGAGCCAGATTTGAGGGAGATAGATTGAATTCTCTGATGAACCCTGTTTTGGACACTTGGACAAAGACCATGGACGCGTTTCGTGTCTACCGCCGAGGAAATGCGGCAGGGTTCTTGAGGCAGGTCCAAAGCAGATGTCCACTCTTGAGACTGAGGAAGGCGAGCAGGATATGAGAGAGATGGATCAAATTTTCTCATGCACCCTGTTTTGGACATGACAAGGCGCACAGACGCGTTTCATGTCGTACCGCCTACAAAATACAACATAGCTCTTGAAGAGGATCCAGAGCAGATTTCCACCCTTGAGACAGAGCAAAACGACCCGCATATGAGGGAGATGGATCGAGTATTCTGATGCACCCTGCTTTGGACACTCAGATAGGGCGCACGGACGCGTTTCGTGTCATACCGCCCAGAAAAGACAACAGGGTCCTTGAGGGAGGTCCAGAGATAATTTCCACTCTTTAGACCGAAGCAAACGAGCCACATTTGAATGAGATGGATCGAATTCCTTGAGTATGTTAAGCACACTTGTTTTCGGGATGCACGCGCAGCGGTTTCCGTTTGAGTGTTCCATCTTGCGCTCAATTTTGAGCCTTGGAGATGTTCCGGGGCCAATGAATCGGTTTCAACCTGTCTTTCGTTTAACGGACACATGTCTGTAGACTGTGCGTCAGACATCTTAAATTTCTCGTGTGTGTATTGAGCAATGAGAGTTGATTGAGAGATTGATTCACGGACAAATAGTACATAGTAGGAATAAACTACAGGGTGACCGAACGAAGCGCGTTGGCAAAAGATAGAAGCATACCTGCAGCAGCACTATGGTGTGGGTGGTGGCGGGAAGCAAGAAGGAAAACAAGTGGCTCGCCATGTGGCTAAAGAAGCGGAGAAAAGGTCGGCATGACAGCATGCCGATGATTTGATCCTCCTCGGGAGGGATCACCGGCAATGCCATCAGCCCGCTGCTTTCCCCGGTACTCAACCACTACGCAGTGCGCATGGGTTTCGCACCCCTCTGAGGGAGATAGACCAGCCACAGGGGTATATGATTTTGCTGGTATTGTATAGTCTTAAATAGGGGCAGTACATGAACCTTGAAGTACGAGTCGCGCCACACAATGCGGTGGCCTCACCCAACAAGTCTGAGATTCTAAAATCTACAACGAATCCCGGTCTCGGTTTCGGTCTCAATGTCGAGCACAAACAAAAAGAGATTTCTAAAGAATCATGTCCTCGGATGGGTTTGAACCACCAGCTCTCCCATCAATGCGATGATGGCTCCTCGTAACAGCATGTGAACGAGTTGAATACTTTTCTCCACAAGGACTTATTGCCAGCCCTGGACCTCTCATACATCCGGCACAGAAACTTGCCAACTTGAAGCGTGAATTGAAATGTACACCGCGATAATACGATCGGAATTTATGAGAACGATAATTGTTAATGTAGAGAGCGATTCACATTTGATGGTCTTACAATTAAATTCCAAAAGATGTTGCATTTCGGTGCATCATGCCCTCAGATGGGTTCGCAAGTTGAACCACTCCTCTCCCTGATATTATTATTATTTCCAAAGACCAAAGCGCGGGCGAATGGTGTGTATTAAATGTACTTGACAGGATGTCAGGTCATCGCGCCCTTGTCGTTGTGGCAGTGGTTATATGATGGGCAGTACACCGAAATACACGCAGATCGGCTGTTCACGTCGTATGCCAGATGCTGGGACACCAGGTTGGCTTGCCTTGTGCCTGGGGTGGGAGGAAAATAAATTGGCAGTACTCGCTTCGCACCCAAGATTATTAGTATACCTACCTAAAAAGTCCTGGGTACCCAATTGCACATATGCATGCAACATTGCTTGATTCGTTTATTTAAATTGCGAAAAGTAACATCCCCGAGATAGCCGAAGTAGATTCAAACTCCGCCATCACTCGCCGTGCCGCTCAGTTTCAAATTGATTTTTTGCTTTTTGCTTTCGCGCAATTGGCGAGGTCGGAGCATCGTTCCATGCAGGAGAGATGGGAGACAGATTGAAAAAAAATCCCGGTCTCGGTCTCGCAAACAAAAAAGACCGCCGGAGAAGAATAATGTCCTCGAACCACCGGCTCTCCCATCAATGTCATGGATTGATCATACTAAACACTATGAGAGCGAGTTGCTTTTCTCCAAGGACTTTTTTATCAGCTTTGGACTTGTGATACGGGGTAGTGGGATCGCCAGGGCCGCAGTGTGCCCGGATCCTCTCATTGTTCCCAGTCAAGGGCGCCTGTACGAAACAGAAATATTAACCTAGCTTGAAGCATAGACTGAAATGTACACCGCGGTAAGTAGATGATACCATCTTCAAAATCTTTCACAAGAATGATGGTCGTCAATGTAGGTATAGAGAGCAATCAACATTTAATATTTGATGCTCATGCAACAAAAGAAATTTGCCAGACTATGCATGTCCTTGGGTGGGTTCGAACCACCCTTCTCCTCGAAATTATATAGTCCTAAGCGTGGACGAATCAGACCGGTGTGTAATGGACTTGACATCCTGATTATCGTGGCCTTGTCATCGAGTTAGTGGTTATACGGTGGGCAGTGCACCACCATAGACTCATGCCGGATACAAATTAGGTTGTTCTGCGGCCCGGGGTGGTTCAAGTTCAACATGGGAGGAAATAAATTCCGCGCTTGGTGCACAAGAACCCAGATTTATATCGGGCCAAAAGCTCACGGGCCCCCTCGAGACGGCCGAAGCAGTCTCCCATCACTCGCTGTTTCTCTCGTTTTTTCTGGTTTTTGCTCAATCGGCGAGAGTTTCCGAGGTCGGAGCACGGAGAGATACGTGATCCTGAAATCTACAACAAATCCCGGTCTAGGTTTCGGTCTCAATCTCGAACACAAACAAGAAAAGAGATTTTTGCATAATGTCCTCGCGTGGGTTCGAACCACCAGCTCTCCCATCAACTTGAATCCCGCCCAGATTACAGCAGGGAGCGAGTTACGTTTCTCCACGAGGACTTTCTCAAGCAGTTCTGGACTGACCTCTGATATGGGGGGTGGGATTGCCAGGTCAAAATCTAAGTATTTTTCCTTGTCAGGCAGCTTGTCCAATCCAAACAGAATTTAAATATGAATCCAACTTGAAGCCGAGACCAATTGAATGAATGTGTTGCACAAAACGACGCAAGTTCAACATTACCAAGAAGGCCGCCGCCATCACTCACTGTTCCTCTCACTGCCAGTTTGAATTTCTTTTGCTGAATGTTGCCGAGGTCGAGGTCAGAGAGTCGAGAGATGTGAGATGTGAGATGTGAGATTCTGCAACGGATCCTGGTCTGGGTCTTGAATTAGACACGAATAAAAAAAGCCGTGGCCAAAGCATAATCATAATGTCCTCGGGTGGGCTCGAACCACCGGCTCTCCCATCAACAGATCTGACTGCCTAACAGCAGGGAGCGAGTTATGTTTCTCTACAAGGACTTTCTCAAGCAGTTTTGGACTAAGCTCTGACATGTGGACGGTGGTTTGCCTTGCTTACTCTCCAGGGTGGTTCAAGTTCAACATGAGGGGAAACCATTGTCAAATTCCGCGCTCGGGGCACCGAACCTCATATATATATTTATACCTCACTAAGCAAAAAAGTCCCGGGTCATCATCTCCCCGTATTTTGATTTTTCCCCCTCAATCGGCAGTCTGACGAGGTCAGAGCGTCGGAGACAAATCCCGGCATCGGTCTCGAACAAAATGTAGACTCTGAGAATATCCTCGGGTGGGTTCGAACCACCGACTCTCCCATTAATCATGAACTTCACAGCGGGTCAACAGCAGGGAGCAAGTTACTTTTCTCCATGAGGACTTTCCTACTAGCTTTGGACCTCTGATACGGAGGGTGGGGATTGCCAAGATCCAAGTATTATTCCCTGTCAAGGTCGCTTGTCTAAACAGAGATATTAATCCAACTTGATGCATGGACTCAAATACCGGTGTATCCAACCTTCTTCGAATTCACGAGGATGCCGATTGTTAATGTAGTGTCTGAGAACAATTAATATTGGTGTTCTGCAACCAAAAAATATTAGTGTTTGATTTTGGCCGACAATGTCCTCGGGTGGGTTCGAACCACCGACTCTCCTATCGATCCTCCAATGGTCGCCAACTGCATGGGAGCGAGTTACTTTTCTCCATGAGGACTTTCCTACTAGCTTTGGACCTCGGGGGTGGGGGTGGGATTGCCGAGATCCAAGTATTGTTCCCTGGCAAGGCCACTTATTTAAACAGAAATATTAATCAAACGTGATGCATGGACTCAAATACCGCGCGCACCATCTTCGAATTCACGATGACAATCGTTAATGTAGAGTCTGAGAACAATTAATATTGGTGTTCTGGCAACAAAAAAATATTAGTGTTTGATTTTGGCCGACAATGTCCTCGGGTGGGTTCGAACCACCAACTCTCCTATCGATGCTCCAATGGTCGCCAACTGCATGGGAGCAAGTTACTTTTCTCCACGAGGACTTTCCTCCTCGCTTTGGACCTCTGATACGAGGTGGGGGTAGGGATTGCCGAGATCCAAGTATTGTTCCCTGTCAAGGCCGCTTGTCTAAACAGAAATATTAATCAAACTTGATGCATGGGCTGAAATGCCGCGCGCACCATCTTCGAATTCACGAGGACGATGCAGAGTCTGACTGAGTGCGATTCGGCATCGCATTTGAGTATTGCAGCAAAAAGAAGATTGTTCCATTGTACCGGCATCATGTCCTCGGGTGGGTTCGAACCACCGACTCTCCCCTCGACGGTATACAATACCCATGAACAGCATGGGAGCGAGTTGCTTTTCTCCACAAGGACTTTTCTTACCGGCCTTGGACCTCTGATACATTCGGGACAGAAACTTGCCAACTTCAAGCGTGAATTGAAATGTAGGTAATACCATTACCATGTGCAAAATCTTTCACGAAGATGATGGTTGTTAATGCAGAGTCTGAGAGCGATGACATCCTGGCTATCGCGGTGGATATCCGAGACTCGGATCGTTCGCGAATGCCGGAGACGGGGACATGAGAGAATGGTCTTGCGACCCAGGTGGTTTAAGATCAATATGGGAGGCGAGTAATTTCCGCGCTCTGGCAGTGCTCAGTGCTCCAAAGCCCAGATTTATACCTCACTAAGAAGTCCCGGGTCCTCAGTTGGAGGTACATAGGTATACAACTTGACTTGATTCGTGTAAATTGCGAAAAAGGAACATGGCCGAGATGGCCGAAGCCAATTCAAACTCCGCCGTCACTCACTGTTTCCCTCATTTTCTTGTGCTCAGCTTTGGCGATGTTAACCGCCTCGTCACCCAGGTGTGTCCCAGGCAGTCTACGACCTTCACGGAGCACGTCGGACTAGCATCGGACAATCGCCTGCGACAATGGGCGGACGGATCAAAGGATTACGTGATGTGGCGGTGCAGCCATCAAAGCCATTGTTCTTTGCGCTTGTTCCTCTTTTGTCGATTTCGCGAGGTAGAACAATTGGTGCAAGAACAATGAACGCGATGGAGGCTTATAAGGCGTGTGAGGAGAAGCCGGTTCTGCCTTTACGCTTTACGCCTTCCCCTCACTCGCCCTTGTCCGCGAGTACCCACCACTCTCGAGATCTCGCCTTTGCCGCGAGCACGAATACTTGACTACACTTGACGATTAACGACTTTACACGATGAGCTGTGCGTTTTCTTCTTCTATAGAAACACAGGTAGACTGACGAGAATTTCCAGTGTCCTCCTACATCAAACGCCAGTCGCGCGTTATCCGCCGCAGCGGCATCGTCTCCAGCGCGGGGGCCGCAGGCCTCAGCAGCATCCTCGAGGAGCCCACACCCACCGCCTCCACCTCCGAGCCCGAAACGCAACCACCAACGACAACGACAACGAAGAAAAAGAACAGCATGAAGGCCAAACGCCGCCTCGGCGTGTCGGATCTCGCCATCCCGCGCGCCTCGCCTTTGTTCACCGCCGTGCAGGGCTTGAATGACGACCAAATGCACGAGTCGAACTCGTGGCGCCTCAGCCTCAGACTGCCCTCGTCCTCGCTTTCGCTCTACGACGAAGACGAAGAGGAGGAGACTACCTCCTTCGACTTCCCGCGCCCGCCCATCCCGAATCCGTTCCTCAGCTCCCCGGTGTACGAGAGTGAGTCTTCCAGTGGGTCCGAGAGCAGCGGGTCTAGCCGGAGCGGCGAGTCGAGCCCGATGTCGAGCGGGATGCCCACGACGCCTACACCCTCGCCTACGGAGGAGAGCGCGCCGGAGTTGGAGCTGGAGCAGGCGCTGCAGGGCCAGTGTGTGATTCGGTGCAAGAGCATCAAGCCGCTCACGATCACCAAGCGCGCGGTCTCGCCCGTCCCGCAGCCTATCGCATCCACGTCGGCCCTCCCTGCACCGCCATGTGAAGCAGACGACGAAGAAGCATGGCAAGACGACGACGAGTACTACGCCGCACACGCCCGCGGCTTCATCACGCTCGCCCCACCCCTGCCGCCGTCCTTTCCCTCTTCGTTCTCTACGTTACCCGCAACACCCGCCGCCACCGCCTCCACCGCCCGCGCAGTGCGTCGCGAGTCCGCCGTCATCCCCGCGGTTCCCTCCGTGCAGCTCGACCCCGCATATAACGCCCCGCAATCATCGCATCGCCGTTCGAGCAGCATCCCCGCACGCGCCCCGCCGCCGCCGCCGATCATCACCTGTTCTTCCTACTCCCACTCGCGGTCTTCATCTTCTCACGAGCTGCTGAAGTCGTCCAAGCCCTCCCTCTACACCTCCCCGACTGGAAACGCCTCCCCCCGCCGGCCCGCGCCGCGCACGCCCCTCCCGACGGACGCGCTGAGCACGCCGTGGAGCGGGGACTGGACCGCATATGCGCCGCTGGTATTTACTCCTTCGCGTACGCCGCCTTTTTCTGCTTGTTTTCTTGATTACTGACTTGGGTTTTTTTCTTAATTAATGCAGCATCTTCCAGCACGAGCGGCGTCTCAACACAATCGCGGCTCGACTCCCTCCTCTCCCCGCCTAGACGCTTCCCGGCAGAGGCGCAGGGCGTCCCGTGCGATGTAGACGATGACGAGGGGTGGGAGGAATGCGCCCTGAGCTACGGGTACGACGAGGTGCCGCTCTCGCCGCTCGTCGCGTGTGCCCCCTCCCCCTCCCCCAGCTCCGCGTCCGCGTCCCCGGTGTGGACTTTCCCGCCCTCGCCCTTGGAGCCCGCACCCGCACCCGCGCCGTACACAGGCTGGCACCCGCGCCCCCTCCTCCGCGCGTCGCAGGTCGAGCCCCTCCTCACCGCCACTGGCACGCGCTCGGCTTCGGCAACCACGATCGCGGCCGCGTGCGCGTCGCCGTGCGCGGAGTATTACGCGCCTGCGTCGCCTTCGCCCACGTCCGTATCCTACCCCTCCAAGCACGAGCAGACCACCCCCGCGCCCGCGCCGATCCTGCGCAGCCGCTGGTCCTCCTCCACGCTCTCCTCCGTGCACTCCGCCCACGCCCACGCCCACCACCCGCGCTCGCCCGCCTCGCCGAAGACGTTCGCGTTCGCACGGCGGTACTTCAAGGCGCCCTCCTCGTCGTCCTCTGCATCCGGTTCGACGACGCCGAAGACGCCCAAGTACGCAAAGGCGAAACCGAAGCCTAGGCCGATGGGCAGCGCGAGCAGCATCCTCCCCACGCGGCGCAAGCGCCTGACGACGGCGGACGTGCTGGTCATCGCGCCCCCGCTGCCGCCTGCGTCGTTGCCTGGTGTGCTGAGTCCCGCGACGCCGTATTCTGCCGCCCCCGCGCTCCCTCCCTCGTGCGGTGCCAGCGCCCCGCAAACCCCTAGCCCCGCGCTCCACGCGGCGTACACGACGCAGCGCTCGCCGCGCCGCCGCGCGTCGAACGCGAGCACGAGGAGCGCGGCGAGTGCGAGCACGGGGTGGTCGTATGACTCTGCCTCCTCCTCTACTTCGCCTCGTCTCGTGCGCGCGCCTTCCTCCGCCTCCTCCTGTGGCTCGGGCTCGGACTCGGGGCACAGCGACGCGGGGAGCGAGATGAGCACGGGGAGCGGGAGCGGGATACGGAGGAAGCCTATCCCGGTGGAGATGTTTTTGCGGTGATCGGTCCCTCCCTTCGTCCCGTTCCCATTCCCTTCTTTTTCCTTTCAACTTCTTGTGATTATGACACCGACGTCCCTCTCTCTTTTGGCTGCGCACTGCGCCACTCCTTCCTTACTTGCTCCTTTCTTGACTTCTCGTGCACCCTGTTTGCACGCACGCACGCACTCCCTCTCTTTCTTGCACTCATCACTCATGACTCAAATGCAAACACACACACTGTATCCTCTATCCTATCCTGCCACATTACTCGCTACTGTATCCTCTATCCTATCCTGCCACATTACTCGCTACTGTATCCCTAATGTAATCTCCGTCTCCGCCCGCGGGCGACGCATGCACTCATTC